CGCGTGTGCAGGTTCGTGCTTACAGCGATCGCGGAAATCGAGCGTTAATTTTGTTCGCAAACTGCTTCGCCTAGCGATTGCAGGTGAAATACTTCATCACAACGGTTGTTGTAGGGCTGTTATTAGCATATCCGCTCTATCACACAGTTTCGTTATAGTTTGTACTGAAGGTTGTCTGAAATCGTACAACTATTACATGGATTAAAAACGAAATCAAATTTTATTCGGCCGAATTACGGCGAAATGACTGAAGGAAAAAGATACGACTTCGATTTGTCAGGTGTCGTGCGCGATTTGAATAACGATGTGCTTTGTTTTATAATTAGAGGTGTGACATTTTGATGTTACTTTTTGGCATTTTTTGCGCCTTGTTTTTTTCGAATTTTGCGTTATTTTGATAATGTGATCAGAGGTGGGCAAGGCTTCAATAAGACGACTTAGTGTTTTGACACGACGTTTATTAAAGCTAAGCATATGTTAGACAATGTAACATAAAACATAACAGTATGCAACAAATTACTGAAGTTGCCTATCATTTTCAGGCTGTAAAAGCAGTAACATGTTAAAAACAAAGTTTTAGGCATAAATCTCTTTGGTTTAGCCCTAAAATTGAGCAAAAAGAACTGAATGGTAACATTTCACAATTTCTAGCAAAATTATTGATATTAAAGTAACAAGAAAAAGGTGTTAATCCTTCAAATACAATATTTACGGTTGCAGAATTGATTTTGAACAATTTTCAACCCTTTTCTCTGATGCAAGTGATACAACGTTGACGTTAGAAACGTTTACTAGGAATTAATGCGATTTTTTACCTTATTTGGACGCCATTTTGCGTCATTTTGCGTTTTAAAAAACGTGTTAAAACGAAGTTGGGGACTCCAAAATGTAAAGAAATGACATTGATGACGTTCCTGGGGCATTTTGCAATATTTTGCGTATAAAGATAACGTTAGAATGTCACACCTCTACTAATAATTCATAACTTTTATCCAATCCTTAAAACATCGCCCGCGAAAATTACGTTTATTCGCGCATTCGTTGATCGTCGAAGTTGGCGAGGGCCCGATTTTTCGTTTCGCCGAGGATGAAAGACAGACGATGGACGGGAACGAGGGATTTTCGCGTCAGACGCCGGATATTAGCCCCGTCGTAAGCGACGCGACGCCCTGAAAGGCCGTGGGTGGGCGCCAAAAAAATGCCCCGACGCAAATAGCGTTGAAACTTCAAACGAATTATAACCCCGGCCGCCCCCTCGTTCTCTGTCAACGCGCGACTGAAAACCGAATCAGACCCCCTCCCTTCCCCCCCCGTTGATATCGCACGGTGCGCTGCTCTGAAGGGTGGAACAAGAGCGAGGGCTGAGAAGCGGGTGGGTGGGTTGACGGGGGTCTCAAAGATCCATATCCGTTTCCACGGGAAGCTTTCGCGTACAGGACGATAAATTTACTGCATTTCAGACATTAAATATATGTTGCGTATGAATTTACGGTCCTTTCCAGCGTGTCAGATTAAATATTCATTTATGCGTGGATATTTTCATTTATAAAATTATCCGATAATCTTCTCTCGTTTGCACCAGTAACGATAACGCAGTGGGACGTCGATTTTGAACGGTCGCGCCGCGGGATCGATGTCTAAATAAATAAAAGTTCTTGGAAATGGAATTCTCGAAACGTTTAAAAGGATTTGCCGCGACTTGGCGGGGTGGCGATAAGAGAACGGGGGTTCGATAACGCGAGCGACTGAATGGGACTTCATACTTCAATACGCGAAATCGATCAGGCTCGATGAGCTGATCGTTTTTGCTCGAGTGAGGCTCGTCTATCTCTTTGCGAGATAACAGCTGATCCGGAACACTGAATTTGCCATCAATTAAAGGCACGACATATCTTCCATTCGTTACTGTCGAACGTGCTCTCGAACAAGTATTACCACCGTGAGAACTTGACCTTTCTCGCGAGGTGCATAACTCAGGTTTGAAATTGTGCTACTATGTCGCATTGATTCTACGCGCATCTACATCGAGGCGAAGATAAGAATTACTGTAGGTAGTTTCGATCGAATTGACTGATCACCACGTCACGTATATTGAAACCGTTGTTACCGCGCGTTATTTAAACGAAAAAGAACTCGAAGTAACGGAAGAAATTTTCCAATTATGAAATTTTGCACAGGATAGACGCTACGATTAACGTAAAGTCCGCTGTTTCCTCCACGAAATTGTCCAAGAGACCGTCCTTTATCTCAAGTTTTCAATTAGACGCATTTAGATTATTAAAACCTTAAATTAGATTCACGCTGAGATGAAATTGGATCAAACGAACGCGTTCTCTATCCGCGTTTAATTCTATTTTTTTAATTCAAACTTTTGAATTCACTTTTTGCTTATTTTTTTTCAATTCACATCTTAATTTTCGTTCCCGACTTATTTTTTCGATTGTCAGTTATCTTTAAATTGGCCGCCTTTCTTCGACTATTCCCTTTGACTGTACCCGTTAGCTTTGAAAAGACTCCCGAGTATCCTCGGATATCTTGCGTCTGTGTTCCCTGATTATTTCTCGCTGTATTTTAAGAACGATTTGTTCTCGCGATAATTTGCGGCGACAGCGCGATCGGAAAATGCTGAAGAGAATGCCGATACAAATTAAGTAATAATACCATGAAAAGACAGATTCGATGTAATTCCGCGCATAAACATCAGCCATCCAATTACTCGGAAATACAATTTCCGGAATAGCGAAGGCAACGGCATTTCCTTCTTCTCCATCGTATTCCTTTCCGCAAGTTTCGAACCTTCGAACCGTGCAGCTAAATCTATTAATATGATCGGATATAAATGATTCTGCATTTGCAGAGCAATAATAAACATGATCCAATATCGCGTCGAATTGTCAGCGTTCATTTCTCGTAATTCCAGTCGCTTTAATTAAATGAAAATCGAAAATTTAAGATTTCCAGGGACATACATCTGTTTAATCAACTTCCTCAACAGAATTGAATTGCGTAGAAATTATTTTAATGCGTGATACTCGTTGTTGTGCAACGAATCGTTGAAGTTCCTTTACGACACGTCAATCTTTTTCGAAACGCTCTCCCGAAACACGCGCGGCGCTTTTTCGCTGTTCTACGGCAATGATTTTTGATCGGGAAAATAACAGGCTTTCGAAATGTCGCTCGTAAATGTTTTGATAAATGTGTTTTCGTTCCGGTTCCTTCGTTCGGCGGATGTGTTCGGCGCACAACCGGAGCCGGGAGTCTTCGCTTCTACGGGTACGCAGGCGACACTCGTGTTGGCCTTTCAATCAACGTAATTGCCGTTCGATCAAGTTCGAACCTGTGCCAATCCTGTCCAACGACAATGCCCTCTGCGCGCTCGTGTTCCACGAGATTGAAAAGTTCCTGAGCTTATGCGCTGTAATACCGAGCTCGATCACGGGGTATTCGCACAGAGAGGACGCGGACGCACTCGATGCTCGCGACTTAAAATTAATTGAACCGACGTTCTCTCTTCGCAAAAAATTATCTATCTTTGATAAATGCCTTGTCATCAAATTGCCACAGAATACCTTTGTCGTCGATAGATCGGGGGCTTTGTTGAAAAAAAATAATTCGGCTTATCATTGATAAATACGCGAGGAATAAATCTCCGACGGCTAGCGAACGAGGGCTGCTCGCTTTATTTTCCAGAAGAAAATTGTTTTCGAATTTTTGTAAGCTCTTAATACTTTACACGAGATATTGCTATTGATAGGACAAAATGATGGAGTTTTCCCCTACCGCATTAATAACTATTTTACGGTTTACAATGCGGTACACAATTTTTACGACTGAAACATATATTCAATCGTTGTTTTACATAAATATTAATAGAGCTGGGCTAATCGCAGTTTGATCGATAATCCTGATTAGTTCTCTGGCGCATTAGACATGCAGCTGCTTCCGTCAGGTGATAATTCTAGTGTCAGGTCGTTTCATTGTCGGTACCATCAATTCCAATTTAATAACGTAAACGACTAAAAAAATGTCTCCTGCATAATTGTATTTTTTACGCGCATTAAGCAGTATTTTCTTTCGTATTATATGACTTTGACAGACAATAAAAATGTTTTTTTTTCTAACAAAATATATCCAAATAATAAAATTGTATACTTTTTGATTGGATGGCGCTTATACTTTGCGTCTTTTTACCTTTTGTTTTGTAAAAAGGATGAACATTTGGACAAACATCTCGTATCGTCGCATTGAATCTCTCGAGGGGGAAACCGCTGACCAAAATCTTGTACACCGATGCCCACTAATGCCCAGTGGGCATTACTTTAATCAATA